CTCATACAAGAGGAGAGATCCCATTCCCAGCAGGAATACAAATAGGGGCATCACGGGGGCATCCCAAGCCTACAGACTGCCCTGTGCCTATTGCTGAGGACAGGGCAAGTCACAAGGGACAGACAGGACACACCAGTCACTGTGAGATGAGTCAGGAGTAAGAACAGAGCCAAGGCAGAGCAGGGCAAGCCCCCAGTGCCCTGGCACGGAGTTCCTTTCTAGGAATTGCCCAGCAGGATCCTCCAGAAAACCTGCCAACAAGCACAGGGGGCTCTGGGGCACCCAGCCAAAGGGGGAAGGGACTGACGCGGGCTTTGCAAAGAGCCCATCGTGGAAGCACGTGATGTGCATGCATGTTTTATGACAGAAAAGCTGGAGACCAGGGCACCCTTCCATAGGAACTTGTTGGCAAACAAGCATGCCTTTATTTCACTGCCATTATTCATGGGAAAGCTCACTTTGGATTTAACAGAGGAAGAGGGGTTTGCCTGATTCCTCCTGCTTGGAGCAGCGGTCCCAGACACTTCACCCTGCAGCTCTACAAGGGCCAGTTGTCCAAATGCCCTACTGCCTGTCCCCATTTCACTGCTGCTGAGCCAGGGAGTGGCAAACAGGGAAATGCAGCCTGGGGGTGCCTGCAGGCAGCGTTGTTCCAGAGCTATTCCCCTCAGTGGGCAGCAGTGACAGCACCAAGCGCATCTCTCCTGGCACCCTCTGCCTCCGCACCGCGCTCCTTCACCTGCCCATGCCACAGCAAAGGGCTGGAAATGAAAGTAGGCATTTGTGTGGGAGGCCAGGCAGCAGCCAGAAAGACTTGCCTGCTGTTTTTAATGTAGGCAGAAAGAGTGTGTGGGAAACACAACCAATGAGCATCTCTGTTGTGGCGTTATCTCTTCCTGTTATCTCAAAACGACGCTCCAGATGCACCCGCGGCAGAAACTGTCGAACAATAGCACCCAAACCAAAGGCAGATGAGGTTCTGGCACCTCACTGGGGTCAGTGCTGGTGACAGCAGGTGGGCAGGAGCAAACACTGCCTTAGCAGGGCCTCACAGCACCGTGGGCTCCATGCCCAGGGCTCACCGCGTGCCCAGAGAGACTCAGAAAGGGGAACAGGCCCAGGCTGTGCACTTTCCATGGCAGAAGGCAGCCAAGAGGTTCCTTCCAGAGCCAGGAATCATTCCTGACAGCACTGGCAAAGGCAGCCAACAGCAAAGCAAGCCAGAGAGGGGTTTCTCAGGGTTGATCATGAGGAACCATGCTCTGAAGCCATGAGGACACCTCAGAAGTCCCCTCTCCTCCCATAGGCTGACATGTGCAGAGGTGGAGTCCTGAGGTGTCATTCAAAGAGGAAGAATAAACCATCCAGAGTGGGCATTTTGTAGAAAAGGAAAAGTAGAATAGGCAGTAATGGTGGGAAGTGTCACGGGAGGTGAGAACAAGGCAGCTGGACCTCAGACGAAAAAAGGAGGGGGAAGCAGGAGGCCCAGCAAGGCTGGCAGCTCATGCCCCTGCCCAAAGGGTAAATCACACTTCAGAGGGGAGCTCTGCACAGAAAGAAAAGCCACACCCCAGACTGAGAGTGTGACAGTCAGTTACGTGACTCAAATCCTGCTTCCTCGTCATCCAGCTCATCTTCTCAAGCAGCCATTTCTATGCCTGCCCATCCTCTTCACCTACCCTGTTGTCCTGTATGCCCATGCACAAAACCTGGCTTATCCACTGGGCCAGCTCAGCTGATCCCTGCCCCTGAACCCCAGCCTGGAAGCCCTGGGCAGCAGCTGGCAGATGTTTCACTGAACACTGTGTGAGGCAGCTCCTCACATGCCTGCCCTTTTCTGCTCACAGCTCCATTTCACACCTTCCCAGCTCCACCAGAGGGTCCAGGGGAGCAGCAGCCATGTCCTGCTTTGGGAAAGCTCCTTCACCTGTGTCCCTAGGGAGAAAGCAACTCCCCCTCACAAAGGAAGAGCAGTTCTGGTGAGGGGGCTGTAGCAGAGCCAAGGAGAATTTCAGAGGCCCTCAAGCAGCTGGTCTGGCACCTCTCTGAAAAGGTAAAGGCTGAAGCTGCACTTCTGAGGGAGGGAAAGGTTTCCATGGTTCAGCTGATCCATGGATCAAGGCAGCCAGGCTGGAAGGATGAGAAAAGGTGCTGTGGTAAAGTCTCTTCTGCAGGGAGGGAAGGAGCACTTTGCTGGGGTGAGAAGTTGGGTTTGGCACTCCTCTTCTGAGCCGAGGCAGAGGAGACCAGGATGCCAGTTCACTGGCTCAGGGCCTCTTACTGTGCTCTCCTTCAATTAACCCTTCTCTTTCTTCCCACAGCATGAGATAGGATTGCCCAGCAGCAGTATTTCACGAGCTTGGTGGCTACTACAAACTCATCCAAAATCCTGAGGCCAGACCTCTTACGTTATCAGCTGCAGCACCTGAATATCTGTTGCAGAATAAGGACAAAATCAGTGTCTTCTCCCCATGGCATCATTTTGGTGAACATCTCAAGAAAGGCTTGTACTAGCTATGGTTTCCTACTTGACTTTTTACTCAGAGTTTAGAAATTAAATTATCTAGCTGTGTCCCACACTGCCTGTGCCAGAAGCCTGAGAACCTCCCTCTGGACAGGCCAACAGAGGTACAAGCAGGTTCTGGCTGCTTTACTAGAAAGGCCAGGTTTGGGCAGCAAGTGCTGCTGTTTCCACAAGGCTTAATGCTGGGATAGAAGGTTTGTATCTTCTACAGAACCAGCCATTGCTCTTTTGGGTGCCTGCTCAGTGTGCCCATCTGGTGAGTGCTACAGGACCACAGCACAGCTACAGACCTGCTTTGATCACGGGGCTGAGCCTCCCTCCCATTCCTTCAGCACTGGCTCTGGAGCACACCACCCACACACCTGATCCCTGCTAATAGCCAGGCAGCAGAAACTGCAGCTCTCAAACAGGGGGATGAGGCAGCAGACAGAAAAGGACAAGACCAGCATTGATCATCTTACCCCCTTTAAGAAGAGTAGGAAAAAACACTTCATCTCATGACTCAGTGGGAGATGCCTCTACAAAAGAACCAAGAAAGGTTACAGCAAGAACCACCAGAGCCAAGCACATCCTGTTATGTCTTAAGTCCCAATGTCAGCTCATTTTCCAGAACTGAAACATCCACTACAGCATAAAAGCCCGACATTTGAATGTCCCACGACACACATTCAGAAAAATGAAGTTCTGCTTGGTGCTTGTTCGATAAATCAGCATTTTTTTCTGGATGTGTCACGGAACATTGATAGTCATTGTTTTTGTGATGTCTCATGTTTGCTTCTGATGTGCTGCAATGGACAATACTTGTACAATGAGACAACACAAAACCAATGGTGACTATCAAATAAAAGGAGTAAATAAAAAATAAGTTTTGCCCTGGTGAGCTTTCCATTGCACAGGCATGCTTCGTGCTAGTAGTATTTTCTTGCCTGCCAAGGACTATGTTTTGGGGTAAACCAACCCAATAGGGATAAATCTTCTTTCTCAGGACCCAGTAACCCTCCCTCTCTCCCAGAAAGGACCCTCACACCTGTAACCACAGCGCTGCACCAGTAAAGCCCTGGCAGCACAGGCCAGGCACAGCAGCTGTGCTCACCCACACCAGCCTGAGCCCACCAGCTCCTGGCACCCCAGCACCTCCCAGGAGTGGTGTGACACCTCCTGCACCCTGCCCCTGTGCCTCAGGGACCAAAATGTTGTTATCTCCTTTGTGTCAAAGTGAGATACTGAAGTACCAGCACAGCTGTGAACTAAGATCCTCTGCACCCAGTCTTCTCTTTATTTATTGAGTACAGGGATATAGCATATGGTGTGTTACAAAATAAACCATGAAACATTTACCAAATTCAATTTTAAATAGCAAAAGCCCAGAAATCTGTCCAAAAACTGCAGAAAGCTAAGGCAAGAGAGCAAGTGGCACTCCCAGGGCTGTTCCCTCTGTCAGAGTTTAAGTGAAGTGACTGAGCTCTGGAGGAGGCAGAGGCTTCCTTTTCCTGACAAGTTGCCTCCTTGCCCTTACACCAGAAGATAAAAATAGTCATATTTCTCAGGAGAAACAAAGCATGGCTGTTTGATCTCCCCTGGCACATGTGAGATAGGCCACCTGAAAGAGGTACTGGGTGCTCTTCTGCCTGACACACCAGCTGGCTGGCTGGATGTCTTGTGCTCTGTGGCTCTGGTAGCTCTCTCCTCCTTCACCTGCCTTGCTTTTTACCCCAGATGGGTCAGTGTACCCATGCAGACACTGCTCTAAAAGAGGCCTGTGCTCCCAGCTCCTCAGCTGTCCTGTAGAGGCAGCTATGGACACCCCCAAGGCCCCACAAGCAGTGTCCAGCATGTGGAAGGTGATGCAGGTGCATTTATTGCAGTCCAGCTTCTGCCTTGGGGATGCAGATCTCCCAGCAGCTCTCTATCATGCCCTGGTTATACATGAGGTGTTACCTGCAAAATCAAGAAAAACAGTCCCTCACCCTCAGCAGGAGGCTTTGGGAAGTGAACCCTGACAATTCAGACAGTGCCACCAGTAATCCTGCTGGCTGGCAGTTTATAATGCTTTGTTTCACAAGCCAAAGGAGACTAGACCTCTTCTAAGAAAAAAAAAAAAAAAAGACAAAAGAAAATTGTCTGGATAGCCCCACAGATTTTTGCTGAGAATAAAGGTTTGTTTTATTTGCCTAAAAGTCACAGAAAACTCAGTTGAAGCTGTCCCTGAAGAGGCTGTGTAGCACATTCTCCTGGCCCTTGTCAGGGCAAAAAGGTTTCACAGAATGTTGTCTCATCCACCCTTTGAAAGCCCAGTGCTGGAGAACCTCTCCCAGAAATCTCTCTCAGTGTTTCATTAAAAAGAAAAATAAAATACTGACCTAACCCTCCCCTGCTGCAATTCAAGCCTACAGTTTCTTTTCTAAACACAGTGGAGAAAGGGAAAGGGAGAAAAGGGGACCCTGCTGCAATTCAAGCCTACAGTTTCTTTTCTAAACACAGTGAAGAAAGGGAAAGGGGGGAAAGGGAGAAAAGGGAGAAGTTCTCCCTTTCCCATTTGTGTTTTTCCCACACAGGTCCTTCAAGGTTCTCACACGTCCTTTCAATATTTTCTTCTCTGCATTATACAACACAAATCCTTTCAACTTCAGACAAATATTTAATTACATACAACCACTTTTTTTAGTCCAGGAGGCCACATATTTGATGCTGAAGCCAGAGAGCTGTCCTAATGTGTGGCAGGAGATGAAACCCTGTAACATCCATAGGTCCATTTTGTCCAAGTAGAGCTTTAGCTTCTTCTTGGTGAAAACCATCCAAAAAGCTCGAAGACAACAAGGTGCAGTAAAAGCAAGTGAACCACAGAAAGACACAGGTTTCAGGGCTGAGTGATCCTAACACGATGGAAAAATGGCCACAGGGATGAATGCCCATCACCTTGAGTCTCCTCATCTCCACTTGATGCTCTCTCTAATTTTCTGCAAGGCAAGCCGCCTTTTCGTAGCTGAGCATTACGCAGGGCTGGGCAGGAGGGGCTCCTGGCTGGCACGACCTTTCTTTTCCCAGTGAGTGGTGGAGCAGAGAGTCCAGCATCCCTCCTGCCAGGCTGCCTGCTCAGGGCCTTTGTCTCGGGGGGTTGGGAGTCCGTGGCTGGGCGCGGGGCCGGGGCTGGGGCCGCGGCGGCTCCTGGGGCTGCGGGGGCAGCGGCCGCTGCTGCACCCGCAGCTGCTTCGGGGTGGCCTGGGATGGAGCCTGGGGCAGCTCCCGCAGCCCCCTCTCACGCTCCAGGGGCAGGCTCTGCATCGCTCGCTCCTCCTCTGCAACAGCACAAAGAGCCCACAGTCAGACGTGCACCAAGAAGTCAAAAATTACTTGTCAAAAAAGACACGGGAATGGCCTTGGCCCAAGCGAGGAAAAGCCAAATATTGGGTTTTGAGCTGCCACTCTCAGGTGTTCCTGCTGTGCCAGTGAACAGCAAAAATCACCTCTGCCTGCTCCCTCCAGGCCAACATGGAAGTTTTTGGCTACCTGGCGGAGATCGAGGTACCTGGAGCATTGGGAAAGATCTGCCCTTTTATCGCTGGCCTGGGGCTATGCACAAATCACTAATGGGACAGGACTGCTAGGAACGTGCCTTGAGCTGTTGTATTTTTCAGCATCAGTCTCATTACATGGTTATGACAATGGGAAGATGCCAGCAGCTCACATCCCAGGCAGCAGACCAAGAACTTAATGTTACAACTTACTTTAAACCTTTTTTGACCGCTCACACAAAGCAAAAGCATATTGACAGTAGTTCTATCCAACTACTAGGAGCATATGTACCTCTGGTTAAAACAATGCTTGCTTATTTCAAATACAATACCTGCTTATAAGCCTTAAAACACAATGCATAGAGCTCCATTATTAAGCTTAGAACTTCCTAACATCTCAGTAGATATACTTTTCTACAGCATAGGGAGTTATTCTAGGTAAGTGTTAATACACAGACCATTGTTCTATTTGTCCTTACAGACCATTGTTCTATTTGCCCTTACAGACCATTGTTCTATTTGTCCTTACTTTTCTACTTATATAATTTTTCTGCTGACCTATCTTATGGCTACTGCTTAGCTCTAATCACAGCTCTGCTCTCTCTGAGGCCTGCCTTTTGCAGCTTTCCCAAAACCCTCTGATTTTATGGATTCCCACACCTGTCTGTTGGAGGAACCAGCTTTATCAGGGAGGCCACAATAGACGTTGATGGACACCCCCAGCCTGAGCTGCTCTGTCCCCTTTAGGAGGCTACTGAAGGGAAAGTGAGATCTGACCCCAGGAAGTCACACCAAAGCACTCTTCCCTGCCTTTGTCTGTGCTGGGATTTCCAGATTCTTGGCAGCCAGAGATCCCTTTTGCCAGCACTAATTTTCACACACAAAGAATTAAAGTCTTACCAACTGACTTCTGAGCACTGACTCATCATTTCTGAAATATCACTCATCTTAACTTCGAGATTGAGGGATTTAACTCTTGAGACACTGAGTTGGCCTTAAACTCACTGTTTCAGAGAGGTTAGTCACTGTAAAACAAGCACTAAAATATTAATTTTCATTTTCTGACTAATTTTCTTAATTCCTGCTGAATCCACGCCCAAGAACTGAGGATATGGTGTCACTGCACAGCTGAGGCAGTGATCTGTACCACTCAAAAGAGAACAGCCATAATGTAAAATAATACTCAGGTGGCTTTCTCAAAGTACATATAAGAAAGTGAGACTGGCAATGCCAGCTGATCTACACAGATTCACCATATGCTAAAACCAGATTATTGCTCATGTCAGGGCAGAGAGAATGCTCCTGACTACAGGGCTCCTGTCAGTGGGAATCTCTAATATTCTAGGTGGCTGGATAGCAAAACAAAGCCTCTTAAACACTTACCATAAACTTCATTCCTTTTCATTTTCCTCCTTCTGATACAATAAATAAGACAAATCACAAAGATGACAAAGAAGACTGCACCTCCTGCTATGCTTAAGATGAGATAGAAGTCCATCTTGCCTAGTTAAGGGGATGAAAGAGGATGTTAGATGGAAAGAAATGACTTGCACAACATCCACTTAGAATTCTGTATTTTCTTCAATTGACTGTAAAGACAGGCCAATAGACACCCCACCCTTTTCTTTTTAACTGTGTACAGCAGAAAGTTGCTGTTCCTCATTGTTGAGAATTTTGATTGCTCCCTGATGGATTCAAGTTCTGCAGAAAACTGAAACCAGAGCATTCATGTGTACTCACGTGTATTTGAATTGCCACTTGTTTTAGTAGCCAGTGTTACACCAAGGTGTATTTTGCTTTTTCTGTGCCTGTTTTTTCCCAGATGAGTGCAAGAGGAGCCAGGACAGATTCACATATAATTACACTTCCATGAAAAGCTGGCTGAGTTAAAACCCACCTGAAGTGCACTTTGCCTGCAAAGGTCAAAATTCAAGGTGATTGGCCTCAAATGCAGGACCAAGTGTTCACAGGGGGCAGCAGGGTTAGAGGGAGGTTTGACTGCAAGATGAGGGATTTTTAATCTACTGTGGAGCTGGCAGAGTCCTGCCACTACACAGAAAATTTGAGAGGTATTCAGTATGGGTGGTAGAGTAGTACTCCATGGTCTTAGGTGGTTTTTGGTGTCTGAGAAATGCTATGTTTGTGCCTTAAAGATCATTGGTATTTCTCTGTTAATGATGTGAGAAAAACCCCAAAGTCTCTGACCCAATTCACCATGTGAAAAAGGAACATTTCTCAGGGGTGAGAAAAAGTGAAATCAAAATTGTCTAGATAATGGCCAATGTCTACCCATAGCAGCAGTGCAGGCAGACCTGTGCTTGCCTGGCTTGTGTCCTGGCATGGGCAGCTTTGGCCAGCATTTCCTCATCCAGACAAGGGGTTTGGGATATTTGCCTTGTCTTAAATAGATCTCATCCAGCAGCACGCTTTCATACCTGGCTCCAAAGTCCATGCCACATCCTGCTCACCCCTTCCCCATGCTAACAACAACAGGACTGTGCAGTCCATCAGGGCAGGCAGCAGCAAAAAAATACATTGTTTGGCTGTTTTTGAAATCAGGAGGATTATTCAGAGGCAACAGCTGCACAGAAGAGCAGTGGCCATCCTGTCCCTCAGCTCTTTGCCCATCAGTCACAATCAGCAGACCTGGGATCACTTCAGTAAAGCCTTTATGCCTTAAGGCTTGCTCCCTCCCTTCTCACACCATGGGCTGTCCTTCAGGCTTGGACTTTCCCTAAATTCACTGTGGCAGGTAAAAACAGGTAAAAATTGGAAATACTGAGCCAGCTCTTGTGAACCCCACTCAACTCTCCACAAGCTCCAGCAGGAATCTAGAGTAAGAGAATGCCTCCAGCAGAGCACTCGTGGATGGGTAGGATGAACCCAAGCCTGGGAAATTCAGGGCTTTTCCCCAGCACTGCACTGGAATTCTGGACTTTGGACTGAGCACCACACCAGTGTCATACCAGTGTGATCTGTCCTTTGTTTGTGCCTTAAACTGCAGAATTTTTACGTGGGAGGATGACAACTGTGATGACTTCTTTTGCCTACTGAATCATTTTCAGCATGACTCTTCCCATTTAAAATGCAATCCCTTCAGTCCTTTTGCTGCATCTGTGATTAACTGAATGGGAAAACCACAGTACAGTTGAGCCATGCTCATCTGACCCTTGTAAACCCAAAGAAAAATCCTCCATAACTTCCCTCCTGATTTCTCGGCCAAGCTGAAGAGTCCAAGCAGCTTATTTTTCCCCCGTGAGAGATCACATCCACACCCATGAGTATGTGGAAGGCATCCTCATCCAGGCAACCACCACATTCACAGACGTGATTATGGAGAAGAGACAAACACCATGGATTTCCCCACAGAAGGGGAGGAGCACAACCCCTCTCACATCCCACTGCCCTCTGCAGTGGTCCACCCTAGCATATTCTGACCCAAGAGATCTCTCACCTGAGCAGTTTATTACTTTTTCAGCCATTTTTTCACTGACTTGGTTCTTAGCAACGCATCGGAATGTCCCAGAATTCCACCCCTGCCATTCCAGCATTGTTGTGTTCTTTTGGATTTTTTTGCTGTTGGGTTGAGTCAGTTCCATTATAAATGCTTCAGCCTCGGGCTTGTCTTTTGCTTCATTCTTGGTCTTCTCTTTTGCTTCATTCTTGGCCTTCTGTCTGGCTTCACACTTGACAGACACACTTTTATTCCTGCATTCAGCCATGAGGATTGGCTGAGGGACAGGTTCTAAAAAAGGAGGGAAGGGACAGGCACATCTGAGAGTTTCTCCTCTTGAAAGCCTCTGCTATTAAGCAAAACAGAGAATAAACCCCAAATCAACAGCTAATGAGATCACAGAAGAACGAAGAGCAAATTAGACCTCTGCTGCAGAAGTAACAAGGCAATAATCAAGAAAATGCAGAGCAGTATCTTATATAGTTAGAGCTGGACACCAGGCAGGTGAGGGGAGGAAGCTGAGTCTTCTTCAGATGGGTGGAAGGGACTCAGAGCCACAGCCCCCTCCACCTCTGGACCCTGTGTTTTGGTGCAAGGGAAGTTGATCCTGTTCTGCCTATGCCCATCAGGGAGAGATTTTCTCTAAAGCAGGACAAACTATGAAAAGCTCCTTATGATGTTCTACCAACAGCACTCAGTGGGCATGACAGCACAGCATGGAAGGCCATCAACCCAGAATGAAGAGCCCAAACAGACACTTCAGCTCTCGATGTGGTTATGACAGAAAAAAAAATATTTCTGTCTCTTCTTGTGCCCTGCAAATGACTTCCTCCCTTCTGGTTCCAGTTTCTCTATCACTGGTGGCACTGAAAGAGATGGAAAAGCCTGCAGGGTTTTCCTCAAGTAAGGGCAACTGGCAGGGACAGCAAATGAAAAATAATTATTTCTACCTTTAAGACCAGGTAAACAAAAACATGCCAGTGCCACCTCTGGTTACAGGCTGAGTAAATTTTATGGAGATAATAAATTCTGAAGTAAATAAGGACTGCTCGTAGCATACGCAGTCAAGGTTGACACCATGACATCTGTATCTACCCTTTCCTTGGTAAGCTCACTCCTCCTCTGCAAACTGGAACTTATTATTCAGGGAAACATTCCAGTGGCAAACATTAGAGTCCAGGTGCTGGAGTTGAGTGATGATATTATTGGGACAAATTTATTTTTTTTTTAAACAACAGTTTGTCCCCAGTAACAATGGGCCAGCCTGGCTGACAAATTGTTCTACCACTGAGACTTAGCACAGGACTTCCAAAGCCATGTGTCAGAGGTATTGCAACCTCTCTGCTGCACAGCAGAGGAAATGATGCAGCACACAGCTGGGCTGGAACATTAACCTTGACCTGAAATGAGGACACCCCAATGACAGCAGAGTGGCTTCAAACATGAGCAAGAAGCATCAGGCCCTGCTGACTTCCTGAATCTGTTTACAGTAATAGCTCCCAAAGCAGTGAGACACCTCACTGCCCAGCAGCCCATTAGACACAGGGCCTCCCATTGCACAGAAACCCTGCTAAAACCATTCCAGCTGTCCTTGCTGCCTCAATATGGCATCATTTCTGTAATCCCAGCTGGTGACACAAACTCAAGATGTCAGGAAAGGTGGGCATGATGACTGAAGAAGGACAGAACAAAGCTATCCTCTCACTGGGGAAAAAAACCCATGCTGTCCTACAGCTTAGAGGTCTGGAGAGGTCACAGCAGCTATTAAGGAGCAGAATAGCCATCCCCATCATCCCTACTCACCCCAAAACCTGTGGGCTGCTGCTGCTCTGATCTCTTAGGACAAGATACAGCACAGGAATGGAGGCTGCCCTCATGCTTTGAACCCAAGCAGCTGAAATCCCCAGGTGTGTGCTTAACTGTGCTTCAAAGAGCACAGACTTCATACTTGTTGTGTTGTGCTGTGCAATGGTAGGGTGCAGGAGTCTTCTTCCACTGCAAATTCAGCTCCTATTGTGGTTTATCTCAGGGGAGGTGACTGCTGGCTATCTTGTATGTCAGAGCAAAAATGGAGTGGCATTTAGTGCCATCTGGACTCCTGAGCTCTCCTCAAGGGGTTGGCAACACCAGTTGCTCAGCTTGCTGGACCAGTGGCCAGAGAACAAAAGTCGTAACTCAGTGCCCATAAAATGGCACCAGAAGTACCCAAAACCCACAGTGCATCAGCCACAGCTGTACCTCCCATAGGCTGCTGTGTCCTAGCAGAGGTTTCTGGAAGCAGGATGCTGCCGGGAGCCCATTCCCCTCTCAGGGTCCCAGCGCTGTTTGTGGTGCTGCAGTAGGGCTGACCACCCTCACCCTGCTGTCAGTGTGAACATGCTCACAGCTGCTTTTTTGGGCACAGCTAGAAACCTGCTGTCTGACAAACAGAAAGAAGCCAGGGATTTGAGGCCATCAATCAGAGCAAGAGAAGGAAGAGAGGCAGGCTCCTGTCTGTGGCAGGAAGATAAAGGTATGTCCTACAAAAGTCCTCCTACTCCTAATCAGAAAAGAGGGCACTGAGTTGGAAAGGCTGTGGAAGAGAGCAGAGAACACCAAATCTTGTTCAGCTGTCCTGGGCATGGTATGGGAAAGTCAAAACTCACCCTGAACAAAGAACATTACATTTTCTTCTGCCTTCAGCTTTCCATCCCGCTGATAAACCATCACCGTGTAGTTGCCGCTGTCCTCTCTCTCCACGCGCTGGATTTGCAGAGTCCCGTTTCGCAGTATGGCACACCTGCACTGCTCCTTGTTCACAAAGTGCTTGGTTTTGTTGTCTTTGATCTGAACCAGCCTTTGTCCCCCTCTCCTCCATGTCGCCTCGTAGATGCTCCCAGGAGCAGTGATGCTGAGAAGAGCTGTCTCATTCACTGCCTTGTAAATCCAGCTGGTGCTGGAGCCTGTGGAGAGAAGCACAGCCAGCCCCTCAGTTGTCTCCAGCAGACACAGCAGTCACCCAAAAAATTGTCATTTTCTATGCCACCCCCTTCCTGAGCTGCCTAAGCCTCTCTGCTTTACTGATGCCATCTTCTTCCCCTGCTCCAAAATATTGCTTGATTGCTCATTAGATAAATGCCAGCATCCAATTTAATTCTCAGAGGCAAGAAAGCTAAGAGCCCAGCTTCCAAAAGCTGAATTTATACCCTGGCTGACTTAGAGTGACTCCCATTCACTTTAACATGAACTAAGCCCTTCCTGAAAAGAAGGTCACTTCTGTGTTTTGCACAGGGCACAGGCTGGTTCCCAGAGTGCCCAGAACTGTAATCAGCAAAAACAGTCACATTCCTGGACAGCAGAATCATTTCAGCAACCCCAGTGACAGCAATGGTGATAATAATAGCAGACCACATCAAGCTGTGAGGGAGTGTAAGGCACTGAACAGGAGGCACACCCACAGCAGCGCCTCCCCTCTCCCATCCCAGTTACTCTGCCCCACTGGAATGCATCCACTTGGATTTTCTAGCATAGGATCCTCATGGAAGAGGCAGGAAGAAACAGCTACCAGCATCCTGTGAACTAAGGGGCTGCAGGAGTCACTACAAGAAAAGCAATTGCCAAAAAGAAAACCCCAAAAATATTTTCTCTTCCTTTGATTCCAGGTCCCTTCTCCAGAACAGTGAAGAGTAGGAGCTTCTCAAAGGTGGTGTCAGGGCTGGGAAGCACCTGAGCATGGGGCTGCCAAAGGGGATATTCACTAAACACCCACGGTGTTTCCAGCAGTGGGGATGACACACTCCTGGAGCAGCGCCCGGGTGCTCTGCCCACTCCCCTCCAGGCTGCTTCAGCCACTGCCTTTGCAAGCCCCATTTCTGGAGAGCCAGGACTTGGGAAGCTTTGCTGGGAGGTGATTTCGAGTGAGGAACTGTCCCCAGCCCCGTGGCAGGTGGACAGACCTGCAGGAGGAGGTGAAATCTGCATGCAAGTGTCAGGTGGGATAAGCTCACTGAGACCTGACACACTCAGAGCCGCAGCTTATTTAGTTTGTCATTTTCTTGTGTTCATTCCTCCTCAATTTACAGGGTGAAGCCAATCAGCAGGAGGAGATTTCCCTTCCCATCACCACACAGATCTGATTCTGCCTGAATTTTATGTATTTTAAGTACATTTTTTTCCCCACAGAGAGAAAAACCTGTGTTTATGCATATTTTTATTACAGTCCTTCACTCCTTGTATCTAGGATAATGATAAATGGCACCACAGAGGGGAAACTGAAACCCAGTGGCTATTTCATTAAACTAACAATATTAGAGATAATCAGAGAACTAAAATAGCATGCCTCTGCAACAGGAACATTAATGCTGTAGTGCTTCTGGCAATTCACCACCTCTAAAGAGAGGCTGTTTTTTCAGCATTGCCTTTCTTACAAGGTATTTGATCTATCTAATGAAATGTCCTGAAATAAAGCTATCAACTAAACAGCCTTGGAAGCAGCTATGCCCCACACAGATGACACTACACAATATTTGAATTCTGATACTTGTTTCTGCTCCGCCATGAACAAGTATTTAGAACTAGTAATAGGATTTCTTGGCATAACAGACACTACTTATATTTTCTCTCTGAAAGTAAAGAAAAAAAGTAAACTGAGTTTTCAAGGATAATTCAATGGTGCCTCTGTGGACCAGAGACATCTCTAGATATTGATCTGATTTCCATAGTCTTTCTAGTGAAAAGCAAAGTATCCCACATATATTGTATTAAAAATCTGTTTAGCTAATGAAACAGTACTTCTGATAAAAATGCCAACTAAAGTGTGCTCCAAAGGGCAGAAAGGTTTTAACTGAGAGACTACAGCTCACTCAGAGTCACAAGAAAGAGTTAAAAGAAAAAGCTCCCATAGTAATTTTAGAGAAGGAAGGACGTCTCTGAAACAATTTTCCATTCAAGGGAATAATCCTTATTTTTGCTGGGGAAGATGTTTTATAGATTGTGTACATAAAAAGAAGAAATCCTTATTTATCTATTAATTTTGTTCTGAAGGAAAAGGAAAGCATTAAACAGCCATACATACAAACTTAGTGGAATGAAACAGGGGGAAAAATTATGCAGGCTTGTATTGTCTCCATCTCTTAAAACCTTCTCTAATCTATGAGTTAACACCTTAATTAAGTTTTTAGATTAATATTTTAAAAAATAATGAGAACAATAATATGGAAAATATAAAAAATATATGCAGTTGCTTGCTGTTTTCACATCTTAAACTTCAGCTCCACTGAAGACACTGAAATATATCACTCTGTTAATATTTATGGATGAATATAAATTGTACTTTCAAAAGATTTGCACATCTTTTGATAAGAAAAGGAAATTACATGTGATAATGCACAGTGAACTGGATCTCTAATGTAGTACAAGCTGCCTGGAGGGCAGAAAGCAAACTGTATGCTGACATTCCTCATTACACATGTGTCAAATTAAGGCTCATTAACTTAAAACCAAAACTCTTTACAGCTTATTATTATAACTGGAATAGAAAACTCAGGTCCTGCCCTCCCCCTGGCTGAAAATTAAATCAAATAATAATAGCAATAACCCAGATGTCTTCACTCATTGGAAAAGTGGAACAAGTTTCTTATCAGTAGCAGCCCACCAAGTTGTAAATGCTTTAAAACGCAATTTTAACATCAGCCCAAAAGAGCAAAAAACTGTAAGAAAAACTCACATTTTACACTGGGAAATAAAAGCAGCAAGCACTTGACTAGGAAAATCCTCCTAAAGTTCATTTTCAGGGTCAAAAAACATCCAGTGTTGCCTTGTCTAGTGATAGCTCCTGGCAGGTGAAAGGGTTTTCTGCTGTGAGCAAGCAGTGATGGGACATGTCGGCGCAGCCTTTGTGCCCTCCTCCTCTCCTCCAGCACTTCTCATTTCTAGCAGAGGCGGAAATAAGCCTCAACAGGGTGTTTTGTCTTCTTGGAGGCAACACGGAGACACAAAGAAAATGGGCATTAAAATGCAGGAATGCCCTGGAGGTTTGCACACCCAGCTGGAGGGCCAGGTGGGGCCCTCGTCCTCCTCAATGCTCACCTGAAGAGCTCAGCTCCAGCATCCACGTGCCACCATCCCAGTGGGAGGGATGCAGTTTTTGGGTGGGGGAATCTTAATTCTCCCCCACAGCCTCAGCAGCAGCAATGGGAGAGCAAGCCCAGGACACCCAGTGAGGAGCAAGTGGCTGCTGGACAACACTTGGAAAGGAGGCACACTTGCCTTGGAAACCAGCAGGATCAGCTTGGCACCAACATCTGGTGTAGAGGGGCTGGCCAGGGCCACAAACGCTTCCTGCAGGCAGGGCCAGCCACTCCAGCAAGCTGTGAGAGGGATGAGCATGGAAGGGGGTGAGAACACTGCCTTGATCTAGCCACAAACCAAGCTGGCTGGTGTGGGAAAGGCAGTGAGGAAAGAAGCCATGAGGAGCTAGGTCCAAAAACACGTGAGAAGCTAATGAAGTCCTTATTCCTGATTCCAATACAAAACAGATGGAGTGGTGAGGATTTTGAGTCTTATCCTCAACCATCATAATTCCTCTGCTTCAGCAGCCACTGAAATCTTCCAGCTTTTTGTCAGAGATGTAGGCCAAGAAAGAAGACAGAAGAAAATCTGTGGCACTAGAAATGTACAAGAGTAGATAAATCTTTCTTGTTCGTTCATGTCATTCCTCTTTCTTGAGGTTAGATCTTCCTTGTAAGACATGTTCCCTTCTCCAGCTTAATCATTTTTTCCTGGTATTTATGAGATTTTAAAAAAAACGCTCCTCGCAGGAAAACCTGGTTTTTCTTCCTTCTTTCTGCTATTGTTTCCTTCCAAAGAACACACAAAGGAAGTACACACAAAAGGAGAGAGGAAGCAGCAGCAGCAAGATCACATTTCTGTGCCTGCCCTCCACCCTCTGTGGCAAGAACCAAGCTGAGGGCAGGGGCTGCCATGCTCAGGTACCTCCTCAGCCAATCAAGCTGTGTCAAACTCCTGGACACATCTGCTTCCAGCATGAGCACCTAAAGAAATTTGGGCAAAGGCAGCAACCCTGATTTCTCCTCTGTTTTTTGAAGGGTCCATCAAGCAGAGCAGAGGGAGGCCCAGCACGCTGAAACCACTCTGCTCAACTTTGTCTCCCTTCATCTTCAGGGAAACATCCCTCAAAGCCCCTGCCTGCTTCCAGGGTACCCCTGCACGTTGTCTGTTTGTTGGCATCCCTGCCAACACACTGGGGTGGGAATTGTCCATAGTACAAATGAAATGCAAAGGGAAAGATGTGTGTGTGTGTGAATGTGAGAGAGACAAGTAGTGGTAGAACTAGGTGTAAAAGAATTCCCTTTATTCCTAATGAAGGCCACTACTTCCAGTTAATCAGTTTGGCATGCTCACATGCCACACACAACCTTCTAAACTCACAGCTGAAATGGGTCAGACCAAAAGCCCCTATGGTCCAGCAAACCAGCTCACCAAACATCCTGGTTGCTCTTGGAGAAACAGATAGGCAGGAGCAAGAATCCATTCCTGAAGGATGTAAAATGTCTGTTGAAAAATGAGCTTACTGTGAGCAGTGAAGAAGCACTTGACAGAAGGTTTGAGGGCTCTGTGGCTGATGCCCCACTGGACACTGGGCCTTGGTATTCCTTGGTGCACGTGCACAAAATCCACTTGCAAGACATTAAGTAACAAAAGCCAAAAGCATAGCCAAACCTGCAAAAGGGGCACACCACTCACCTGCAGCAAGAACTCCCCATGAGGTCCTGGCACCTGCATGGCCTGTCCCAAAAGCAGCCCCTTTTCCAACCAGCCTCTGAAACCTCCCGCAGCATCAGACCCACCTGGAGAAAGACAAAGCAGCCCATGTCTCTAAGCTCAGTCCTCCTGCCAGATGACAAGAGGGGAAATGTCAATATTCTGCCAGCTTTACCCCAACCCTCTTGAAAAGCAAGGCAATGTCATGCTGCAGTCCTGACTGGGCTCTGATCCCCATTTTAGAAGAAGGATTTTTTGGATGTTACATGGAAGGAAGCACTCTAAGTTGCTGCACTGATGTCTCTGTTTTGCCTTCAAGGAGAGCCCCAGGAGAAGGCATTGAGGAGAAGGAGCCTGAAGGTGTCTCTGAAAGCACAGCAGCTCCTTTTAGAAGAAGGATTTTTTGGATGTTACATGGAAGGAAGCACTCTAAGTTGCTGCACTGATGTCTCTGTTTTGCCTTCAAGGAGAACCCCAGGAGAAGACATTGAGGAGAAGGTGCCTGAAGGTGTCTCTGGAAAGCACAGCAGCTCTGGCTGCTGCCACAGAGGAACCCTTGAAGCCAGCATGTACCTTCAGAGATGTGGCATGGGAAAAACACCCTGAGAACAACTAGAGCAGACAGCACTGGCAGAGCAGCCCCTGCACCAACCAGAAATGCCCTCCAAGGTGGAGAGAGAGCTGAGGCTGGAGCTCTGCGTGGCCACAGCCCAGACATTGGCCAAATCTGTGCTGGGCAGGACAAGGTGAGCTGTAGATAACAGTGCTCTCACACTCTTCTCCTCACACAGGAAGTAACACCACTGGACTAAACAAAGCCAGCTAGAAAATGGGCAATGATAGAAAAGCAGATGTCTCCCAGCACAGCTCTGCTAGGCCTGGTTCAGTTAGGCCTGTCCTTAGCATCAGGCTAAGGATGCTGGAGCCCTGTTTAGCCCATTGCATTGCTACACATCCCCATCTTCTAACACACAGGAGAGCAGAGGGCTGAGCACACAATGGGCTGTGTCTTTGCACATCTTTGCTCTCTCTCTGAGGCATTGTTTCCACTGCAGAAGCCACAAAACGCCGCACTCTTACATTTGCTTTTGTGGCTTGCTCTTTCCTTTACACTTCTGCTCTTTGTAAGACAGCACACAGTTTCCTCACAGGGAATGTATCACACATTTCCTTGTAAAGGTGACAGAGTCCCCCCACATCTGAAGGCAACATCTCAAGAGACAATAGGCAGATGTTCCCAGCTCTAAGTTCTCAGCTTAGTGATGAGCCAATAAACATTCATGCCTGAGGCTTATTTAAAAAAATTAAAAAGGAAAAAATATTTTTATTATACAAAATACTGTTATTTGATCTACTAGAAAAGGAAGACTACAAAAAGTAGATTTGGATCCCACCTGATAGTTTGTACCATCTTCTCTGGTATGAAACTTTGGTTATAGTAAGTGGCATTTGCATGCGAGTCAGACATCCTGCACTGAGCATCACCCAAGACCTTCACACCTCTAAATCTCTCACCATGGCTTTGATGAGGAGAAGAGTGTGAGGAGAAGAGCAAATGTGATTTTAATTGGAGTGTCAGATAGGTAATATATGGAGGGGCAGTTTGGGGAAGGGTAACTTTACCCTTGGGAGCTCTCCTGACCTTGCACCCTGGCCTGCAAGGCTGGGCTCCATCTGGGGTGCCCTGGATGGCAGCTGAGGGATTCCTGCTGGCACATTCCCCTTTACTGTAGCTTTTTACAAAGCAGGAGGGATTGTGGGCAGTGGCTGGAGCAAGGAAGAAGCAAAGTCCACCCTACCCTGCACTACAAAATGCCAAGGAACTGCCAATTCCCACTTAGAGTTTCAGGCATTTGCTTGATGAAGGACACATCCTGCCTCCTCCTCACTTCTGCCTTACACAGGGCCAAGAAAGGAAAAACTCCAGCTTGAATCAAGTGGTGGAAATGTGAAGATCAATAACTCAAAATAGAGCTTTAGCTAAGGGTTTGTCAGGGATGCTGACTCGGTGCCTCAGAGCTAACTGAGAGCCCTGAGCTGCCTGTACACAATGGAAATATTCCAGAAATAGTGACACACACATGTACATACTCATGCTACTGATACTGAAAAAGTTGTCTGCACAAACTTTTTCATCCTTCTCTCAAGAAAAGTAAATGGACATTTTCAAACCATGAATCGTGCAGAATAGTCCTCACCTGATTATTTGAAGGGACACAATTCCCCTGTAATGTCCATAATGCCACATAGAATCATAGAATATTCTGAGGTGGAAAGGATCCACAAAGATTCACCTCCTGTCCCTGGATAGGACAGCCCCAAGAATCACACCCTGAGCCTAAAAGCATGGTCCAAACAATCCTTCAGCTCAGACAGACTTGAAGCTGTGACCACTTCCCTGCTGAGCCCATCCCAGTGCCCCAAAAGCCTTTGGGAAAAGGGCCTTTTCCTGATATCCAACCTAAACCCCCAGCCCAACACAGCTTCATGCTGTTAAACCTTTAGCCCCAGGTGTTCTCTCTCAGATGAATTTTCTTCTTTTTCATCTGCAAGCGTGTGTCAACAGCCAAACCTGACAAAAACACCCTTTATTTCTGCTCTGAAGGAATATAATCCCCCTCAGACCAAGCAGCCTGTGGTTCAGAGCAACGACTGAGGCTAGAGCAGATGGCAGCATCCCATCAGTTATCCTTGCAGATGGTGCATTTCAGTCTTGCTGATGATTTCCATCATCTATAATGGCCCTAGATTTAGGACCTAACTTTCAGCATCTTGTTCTAGTAAATTCAGTGACATTACTACTGCTGCAAAAGGTGTTGGCTTGCTGGCATGCTGCAATCAATCTGTCTCATACCAGAAGCCAGATAAATGACCATAAAAGCCTCTTCTAGTCTTGGCAGTGGTAAACACACAAAGACCTGTGTTAACTACAATGTGCCCCTTCATCACGAGAGAGTGGATGGACCCAAAAAGGATAATAGAAGAACAGCTGCCCCTAGAAATATCTAGGAAAGACAAATTGTTGCTGGCATCTAAGTAATCTTTTGGACAAGATCTGACACTCCCCAGAAGCCATCAGCTTAATAAATGCATGTATA